ACATTAGAACACCCCAACAGGTCAAAGGGGCCACACAGAGAGAGAGAGTGAGAGAGTTTACAGCTCTCGCCATAGTAAGCTAGCGTCATATAACGCACAAATAACGTCAGTACGTAATAACCGGCTATGATGATTACTGAACTGATACCAAATTGTTTGCATCTACATGGTGGTGCATTGAAAAAAAAACTATTAATTTTGACACCCCAATAAAATATATAATAAAATATGTATATCTTAATAATATATTGTTTTATCTGTTTCTCAGTGAATATTGGTGATATATTTCGGTGCATTTAAACAAAACAGATTTATTAAACTGATATATTTATTAAAATAAGATTTTGCTCAACTAACATCTACAGAAACAGAAAGATAATACATCATAATAATCATCTAAAAATTCATGCTTAACGTTGGAAAAAATTACAAACTACAAAATTTCAAGAAAGTTTATAGTTTTTTTTTTTTTTTTTTTTTGTAGTTTGTTTCTCTTAATTTTGCTTCTTTTATTTTATATTTCTCCCTAACATACATTTTGGCACAATTTTCCCCCCAAAATTTTGTTAAAGTTGGGTGTACTTCTTTTGTTCTCATTAGCTATTTTGTTAGATAAGCTCCACATTTGGCTTCAATACTGACTAATCTAATGTATATGCACAAAATAATACTGTAAAGTATCCTGTAGAAAATATTTATCTAAATGAGTGATTTATCAGGGGTGTATGTTGAGCTCTGTGTGTTTTTATATTTAAAAAATATGGTGGATGGTCATTTTTACTGCTAGGTACTGCTAAAGTGTTTAATATCCACAAATAGCCCATTATTTCCATTGTTTTTAAACAATAAAGGAACAAGTACAAGTAATTTGTTTTAGTGTTAATCAACATTGTGCCCCCAAAAAACTACTGGCACTGAATTCAGATTATTCTTGAAAGTATTCAAACTTTACCTCATTGCATTATTCTTCAATTGCAATAATGCAAAGCGGCTTTTCATGAATGAAGGAATGAGAACTAGCGCTCCGACAGTGATTTATTCAGTGGGATAAAGCTGATTCACACAGCAGCTGCGTGAATCACAATGGCCAGTGTTAATCACAGGAGACTGGCACAGACTGACCCGCGAACAGGAGACTATCTTTACCAAACACACACTTATCATTTCACAGCACAGTCTGTCATGGCTGCTCGAGATATGAGAAAATATGGGATTTCCTCAAAGTGCAGTCTCACAATAGAAGTATTAATATTCAGATGCATTTAGAGATAGTGTGACTTCTTTAAATGCACATCAAATTGCCAGTTATTCTCAGAAGACGTTATACTACTTTATTATTATGTGTGTATGGCTAAAAGTTAAGAGACCACTTATAAATTCTAGATTTATGAGCTGTATATGCATGGGTTTACATGTTAATAATTGCATAAAAATAATCAAATATGCGTAATAATCCTTCCCAATTTTAAACATAAAATTGTTATTTGGAAAAAAGATACCAATTCCAAATGTCTGAAATAACAAATGTTTGTATTTGCAACAGATTTTTGAGATTTTAGATATGTCATCACCAATTTACAGTATAAAAAAATGTTTCACTTAAACACATAAATAGAAATTGTAAATCCAAACAAACACACACACAAATTATAAATAAATAAATAAATAAGTAAAAAAAATATAAAAAATGAATAGTAAATAATAAATATTAAAATAAATAAATATAAATAAAAAAAATATAAATAAAAATGAACTTATTTTACACATCTTAATACGTCACAAATTAAAAATATTATACATCTTATAATTGCACTTGCTAAAAGCATATTTTACTGCCAAGCAACTTAATCTACCAAAATAACTAGAACAAACAATTCTCACAGCCACAATAACATGATGATGATAGAGTGATTTACGCCATCCGGATAAATATGATCTTATGAGTAAGTGTAACTGGTCGTGGAGCAGCTATACCTCTTCTACAGTATATCAGTTCTGCCTGCTGTCACACGACACTCTCATCAGTCTCCATCTCCTTTTAGATGTTAAATTACATTTGATCATGTCTGGATCCACTCTCCACTTCAACAGACGCCCAGCGTACCGCTTGCACTCAGATCAGATCAGATCTACTGCCAGATCCAGCAAATCACCAGCCATTCACAACCTCAACTGATGTAGACACCAAAAACATAAATATTTAGCAGTGGTGTCAAACCATTTACATATTTATATTGCACATTCTTTGTAGGAGTCTTTTTGGAACTTATAGTATATATTTCCATTTGCAAGAATCAATATCAATTAGTTTGATAAATCGCTTTTTTCGGCTAAGTTTAATGGATGCTTGAATAAAAATTATATTGATTATTACATTTGATTATTCAATTACTGTATACCTGAATATAGTTCAACTTTATTAAATAAATATATCTAAAAATATATTTTAATTTGTATCTTTTTTTTAATGTATACCTGTAGATTGTTTATTATATTTTATGCACTCCTATACAAAATCATCCCAATCAATCTAAAATAATAAACTGTTTTTCAAATAGTTATTTAACTCCTCTAAGTAAAATTGTATTAATAATATTGTTACATATCACAGAAAAAAAAAATATTGCAATGTTATATTTCTCTAATATCATGCAGCCCTAATATATATATGGTATTCATGGAGGCATATATATTTTCTAAGGTTAAAAATCAAAAACAGTCTGAAGTGATAATGCTAGTTATGAAGTACACGGTTGAGAGCAAAATTATTAGTAGTTATGTGATTTTTTTTCTTTTTTTTTCATATGCCAAGTTTTTTTTTAGTATGGCTGAAATACGCAGTTTTTTTTATTCAATATGTTATTTTATATATATGACAGTTTTTTTAACACATTTTAAGATTAAGTAGCCTCCTTAATAAATATATATATTTTTTTTATTAAATTTATAAATATATATTTTTAAAACTATTGAGCAATTCCATGCAAGTGTCGACCTTGCCATAAAAAACGTTTTAGCCAAAATAACAAATTTCTGCTATTTTTTTTGTGTAGGCTTGTATTTTACAGTACTGTAAAAATACTCAAAAATGTCTGTCAATGTTTTCAAACAACTATATTTGACTTACAAAAGACACCCAAGTGCCAATTTCACATCCGTCACATCCATAACAGAGAGGTGTCACATCCATAACAAAACTTTTTCTTTATAAATGCAAAAATGTAAAAAAATCTATAAAATCTCTTATTTTTGTTCTACAGAGAGCCAACTCTTATCCTTAAGATTAGCATAATTTCTTTTGGGTTGTACAGTTTAATTCACAGAATTTTTACAATGTATGTCGTATACTGTAAAACCGCAGACTTTTTTTCATCACATCCATAAGGCATGTTTATTTCCCTCATTTAAAGTTTAACAAATGTTTGCAGATTGATATTTTTCTGAACGTATAACTCTGTGGTTAGTTGTTTTGGAAAATATAAACAGATGTTTTAATATAATGTTACCATATACTTTCTCTGTGAATTTATGTTTTGAGATTTTACTACTGATTTTACTGAGATTTTAAAGGTCACATCCATAACGCTGGAACTGCTCTATTATGTTTAGGAATGTGTAGAAAAATATATAATATATGAAAGTTCTGAGATAAATAAAGAATTTTGAATAGTAATTATAATATTTCAAGTTTCTAAAGGTATTCAAGGAGGTAACTATGTAATTACAGTAAATAAGATGTGCACTGGGTTACATGGAATTTTCTCAGGCGTTTAATAATTATAAGATTCACCAAGAAAAAATATGGTATTTTACAGAAGTAAAAATGCAGTATTTACTAATAATTTGAAAGATGTGGTATTTTACTGAAGTAAAAAAGGTAAATAGTATATTTACTTTAAAAAATGTGGTGACGATGATTTTTCCTACGTTTACAGGTTACTTGCTGATGTAAAAGTGAAAATTATTATATTTATGAAGATAATTACGAAGACAATTATTTACTGTAAAACAGGGTTAATGTATGTTTTACAACTGACTGACTAGAGTTTGGGGGTACAATATTTAATTGCTTAAACCTAATAAAAATACCATGTACAGTAAGACGTACAATAGTTGGTGAGGCATTTTTACAGAGTGGCAATACTAGCAGATATAATACACACAATAAGCATAACCATGGTGGTACACATGGGTAAGAAATTCCAACTGTACGATTATGACACTGAATGACTGTGGGAAACGTACAGCATGCTATACTTGGTATGTTACCAAAACACCATATTATCACGAAAAGTTGTCTAACTAGCAGTGTACTGTATGAACAAAGAACCCCCATGAGGGAATTTTCTTCTCAGAGAACTTATTCTGCAGAAACTGGTGGATATAATGGTACAAAAGATTTACATGGTACTTTTTCAAATACCACAGAATTTACTTGCTAAACTGTGCAAATAGCATGGTACTATTAGAAGAGGTGAAGAGTGTTTTCTTTAGAGAGGTATTATACCACATTTAACAGACTGAAATACTGGCAGCTAAACACAGAAGTGCATACAGTGTGTCATTTCCTTACAAAAAGTAAGGGTGTTACCATGGTACAGTGAAAATAATTATATGCTGTATGAATATGACACTGAATAACCGTGAGAAACATATGGCTTGCTATTTACAAGGGATGTTATGAAATACCATGTTATTACCATGGTAAAGCACTCAACTAACAGTTTTAGAACAGCCAAAGAGTTTTCACTTGTTTTATTTTCATTACGCAAACACTGGTGGATATAGTCATGCCAAACGCTTACGATGTTTAAACGTGGTACTTTTCCAAATACCATGGCGTTACCATAGTAAACTTCCCAAAATAGAACGCAACTACTTTGAAAAACAAACCCCTCATGATGTAATTTCTCTTCGATATACAGCTTTTCCGCATGCACAAGCTATTGATGCTCATAAATCGCTATTTCGCACGTTATTCGGGTATGTTTGAGACTCACCGTCTATGTTTTCTCTGTCGCTGATGTGCTGCAGGTTGCAGCCCGTGTCCTCGCGGCTCAGCTCCGGTTCGGGCCGGTACGGCTCCAGCCTCGAGTGCGCGTTCCTCCGGAGCTTCGGGCTGGACGACACGCAGCATGATGTGCTGTTCCCCATGAGTACACCCGGTACCCGGTACGAGCAGATCAACAAACGGCTCCGATCGACGGAGCCCCTCCGCAGTTGATGGGCGTAACAGCTGCGGATGACGGGATGAAACACGGGCTCTGCGATCACTCCCGCTCGTGGAAAGACATCAGCGGGTCACGACTGTCCTCAACGCATAATCCACGCGATGTTTATGTGTCGGTAGGTTTTTCCATTCCCTCGCGTCGCTGTTACATCGTATCGTTCAGCTGTCAGTGTAGCGCCGAGCCTACAATCATACACATATACACACTGAAAGAGAGAGAACACCGGAACAGCTTCCGGTTCAGCCACTGACGTCACGCTGAGCGATGCTTTTGATTCTCTTTTATTTTATTTTCATTCATTAATCTTGGGTTGCCACCGCGGAATGAACCGCCAACTTATCCAGCACTTGTTTTACGTAGCAGATGCCCTTCCAGCTGCAACCCATCACTGGGAAACACCCATACACACCCATACATTACAGACTATTTTAGCTTCCCCAATTCACCTATAGCGCATGTGTTTGGACTGTGGGGGAAATCGGAGCACCCGGAGCCAACGACCATCTTGATGTGCCGCGACAGCACTAACTACTGCTTGTTTGTTTGCTGAAAAAGTTTGGGCATGGCATTCATATAGAGCGGGTAAATTTGGTGTGGAGGATTCTGAATGGCCTACACAAAGCCCAGAACTCAACCTAACTGAACATCTTTGTGATAAATTTAGGTGAAGACTGTGAGCTGGCTGTTCTCAACCAGTAAAACTTCTAGAATAATGGTCAAACATCCCTTTAAACACTCTCCTAAACCTTGTGGGAAATCTTCCCAGAAGAGTTGAAGCTGTTATAGCTTCAAAGGGTGGGCCAACTCAATAGTATATCCTATTAGTGTGTTATTAAAGTTCATGTGCATGTAATAAACTAAAGACAACTTTAGTTAATGTAGTGTACAAATATCAATAGGTGACAAAAATGCTAGTATCTAAAATACAAATGAAGAAATTGAAAGAATAAATAAATAAAAATAAGCCTGAAAAGATTGAATCAAGTAGATAAGATTTTGATTTGTATTAATATTTTTCTGTTTGTGTGAATTTAGTTGAACCCAGTTTTTATTTATGCATATTAGTCAGAGTAACAGTATCAAATATAAAGAATCAACAAGACACCAACTGAGGCCTTGAGACAAAGAACCATGTAAGTCCATATTTTCAAATTTTGAGTAATGAGATTTTTTTTTTTCTCTTGGATGGGGAACATTATATTACATATTTTTATTTTACTTGAAGATAGAAGCTTCTCAGAGCTAAGGAGGCAACATTTTTTCAGTGTCAGTATTACAAATCCAGAGTTAATGCTATTTATATTTCTCAAATGTGGAAGAAGGGTATATGTCCAGTTAATACATGTGTAATAACAATATAACTCCAATTCATCACATCACTTTAAACCAGTGGTTCTCAAAGTGGGGGGTCAGGGGTCAAAATAAATAGATTCCTAAAATCTATTTATTTTTTATGAAACCATAAGTTTTACCATATTTTATCCATAACCTACTGAAGAGAAAAAGTCGTTTATAGTTACTATGTACTATATAGTTACTATAGTAGCTTACGTTTACTAGTTCTATTGGATTGCGACCCCTGGGGTAATTACATTAAATTAAAGACGCAGCAATAGTGTCAGATGCAGCAGATTGATTTTATAACACCGGTTAAACTTTCTGTCCCATTTACAGCATTCACACACAATTAAAAATTCAATGAATAATAGACTTGACTCTATTGGTGTGTGTGCGCCATTGCATACAAGGTTTCTGTATTTATAACCACTTCAGAGAAAATTGGGGGTCCCAAGTCACTAGCATTGTCATTTCGGGGGTCACGGGCTAAAAAGTTTTGGGAACCCCTGCTTTAAACCACTAAACATCTGATCCCTTAACCTTAGTTTTAATACAGTACCAGAAACGTCAGGTTAATATTAAGCATTTCTTTTATTATCATTGAGCATTGCTGTTTATTATTGTTATTATTAGTAGTATTATCATTATTCATTCATTCATTTTCTTTTCAGCCTAGTCCCTTCATTAATCTGGGATCATCACTGCAGAATGAACCGCCAACTTATCCAGCATATGTTTTACGCAGTGGATGCCTTTTCTGTTGCAACCCATGACTAGGAAACATCCATACACACTCATTCACACACACACATGGTCTAAAAGAGGAAATATCAATCCAGTGAGTGAAAGTTCTGTGGCTGCAAATGCCTTGTTGATGGGGTCTGAGGAGATTTTCTTGGCACACTTTGAGCCCATTAGTACCAATTGAGCATCTTGTCGAGACACCAGAACCTTCCTGGCATTTCTGTGTGCAGTTTGCATGTTCTCCCCATGTTCGCAGGGGTTTCCTCCGGGTGCTCCAATTCCCCAACAAGTCCAAAGATATGCGGTACAGGTGAATTGAATAAGCTAAATTGTCCGTAGTGTATGTCTGTAAATAAGAGTGTATGGGTGGTTTCCAGTGATGGGTTGCAGCTGGAAGGGCAAATGCTGGGTAAGTTGGCGGTTCATTCCACTGTGGCGACCCCAGATTAAAAAAGGGACTAAGCCGAAAAAAAAATGAATGAATGAAAAAGTTAATTATTAATCTGATAGCTCTGGCCTCACAATTAAAATCTTTTGTGTTTATTTTTCTTACTTTTTAAATTTATTATCTGTTGTTTGGGCAACATTTACAGTAATAAAAAGAGAATCTGCTGAATCTATGCTTTCAGGATTGATGACTAAATGATAAATATAAAAGATCGGCATATTAAAAATGCTGTGTTATCTCTGAATCTGTAATGGAGCTTTGTTGTCCAGTCAGCTATTAATGATTATTACATCTCCAAGACTGTTTAAGGCCAGGCTAAGATGATTACAATTTATTATGCTGTAAAAAAGTGATTTACATAAGCATAATAAAAAATCAACAAAGAAGTCAGGCTTAAAATTATATAAAACTACAGGATAATAAGAATGGGCTAAATATACATAAAACATTATATTAAGACATTAGCTGGATGAAAAAGATATTGCATAGAAAATATTTTCTTTAAACAGTGTTATCTTAATAATAAAGATTTATATTTATATGTTTATTATTTGTTAAATGTATATTAATCTTGATTATTGATTATATTTATCTTATATAACAACTAGAGGTGGTTCATTCTGCTCTGGCCACCTCGGAAATAGAGACTAAGCCGAAGAAAAATGAATGAATGAATCAACTAGATTTAAAGTAAATAAAAACAACAGCATTGATCTTGATGAAAGTCCACAAGTTAAATAAAGGTTTAAGTATTTACAACACTCTTAAGTTTGCCTTGGCAGTTTACCTCCAATGCTTCAATGATACTTTAAGAAGTTCAAAACCCTTTTTGACTGCAGATCAGAAAAGATAAATCATACAATCTCAATCAATGCAGAGCTGTAGCGCCCTCTGCTGCTCGAACATGATGCTTGCACTTTCCACGTTTTACAAAGTGAAAAATGCTGATAATATAATATAATATAATATAATATAATATAATATAATATAATATAATATAATATAATAAATATAATATAATATAATATAATATAATATAATATAATATAATATAATATAATATAATATAATAAATATAATATAATATAATATAATATAATGTAATATAATATAATAAATATAATATAATAAATATAATATAATATAATATAATATAATATAATATAATACTGAGCAGTAATGTATAAATCTGGAAAATCCAGCATGTTTCTAGGGTTACAACTTATAAACCAAATCTGTTTTACAGTCACTGACAGGAGGCGCTATTGAGCACTAAGACTCTCATTGTAATAAAGTGACAAGCAAAATAAAATTACAGAGCTGAAAAAAGTTAAGATGAATATATCTTTAAAAAATAAACTTGACTGATAAATCAGTTTACACTTAAAGTAATAATATAATAAAAGATAATAATAAAAATGATCTCCAGATAAAGAATCCACAGGTTACATCTTCATTCGTTGCATGCTGCTTCCCCCTGCTGGATATATAACAGGTTATTAAACAAACCACAGGTGAATCCATAATGGATTGAAATAATTTACAAAAAACTAGAACACTTTTCTATATATATATATATATATATATATATATATATATATATATATATATATATATATATATATATATATATATATATATGGCGATTTATTATTCTATATCAAAATAGAAAAGTTATTACTATTATTTTAATTCATAAAAATTAATTAAATAATTAATACATTTTCAATTTAAACATCTCAGAAAATAAACCTCACTATAATAGCCTACATTTAACCTGTGTATTTAATAACAATCATTTTAATTAACATATTGCTATTGAATAAGCTGACAAAACCGATATTGACTGGGTTGTTTTAATCCAACTTTTGGTAAAATAGGGGAATGGGTCACTTTTTTTACTTAGATAAGTGTTATATTTTGTTAAAACTAGCTTGTTTTAACAGAATGGCAATACTTAACAGAGGTGTGTACAGCTAATGTGTGATTTCTAAGGGTATTTCACTGAAAATTAAAAATACCTGAAATATACTGAATGACTGGGAAACATAGTGATACAGCATGCTATTTACCTTGTAAGTTACCAAATACCACTTTATTACTATAGTAAATTATCCAAATAGTATATTATGCTAAACACAAACCCTTCATGAAAGGATTTTCTTCACTGATAGCCGTTATTCTGCAAACACTGGTGGATATAATGATGCCAATTGCTTACATGTTTAAACGTGGTACTTTTCCAAATATCAACCACTGGTCCATATTTTAAACAAATAGACTTATAGGATAAAACAACTCAATATTGAATAATTTTTTCAGGAGTAGGCTAGGCTACATAAATGTTTTGTATTTATTTATTTATTTATTTATCTGTCTTCTTTACATCAATCAGTCTTCTCTATAAAAAACTAAGAAAAATAATAAACTATTTTGTTTTTAAATGGAATTTGACTGCTCGACTGTTCTATTATTGTGGGTGCAGGACGCATTATTATTTTATTTTATTTTATTTTACATTATTTTCATATATGTAATATTCATTCATTTATTAATTTTCCATCGGTTTAGTCCCTTTATTCATCAGGGGCCGCAACAGCAGAATGAACCGCCAACAATGTAATAATCACATCCAAATAGTATTTATTAGACCTCACCTCACCCAGGGTCAATTTTATTGATATGGGGACCCAAAGCAATTCCAGCTAAGG